AGAGATAGAGGTAGTAATATCCCTGTGTTCAAAAGTTAATAATTTACAACAACACAGAAATCACGTGGCTGAGAGAAAGGTGTGTAGAAAAGACTAGAAAATGTAACACATTCCCTGTTTTTCAGAAAACTGAGATCACTTGTGTCAAAATAGAAATCTCAGCAAAATACCCAAATATCCAGCAGCAGATTATGAGAAAACTTGGCATCTTTCAGTCAAGCTGAGGAAGCAGGCTGCGGAAAACTTAAGACAGACAGGGGAAGAAATCCTTATTCAAAGTAAAAATTATTTTAGGGCCTATTTGCTTTCTTTCAGAAACATGCAAAAATGCAAGCCATCACTAATTACAACTGCCAGTCACACAGAGCAGACCAGAGTCTCCAGCAATAGAGCAAGTGTTTCAAAATGAACAGAGCAGAAACTTTAGTTGCATCATTACCCCCCAGAGACTGTAAAAATGCTGTAAGCAAATTATAGCTATTTTCAATTAAACACCATGTGTCAGAAACCATTTGAAACCAGATCTTGTCACAAAGATGAAAATTCCTTGTTAAAGATCTCAATAAATAACTTTAAAAGTGATTTTGAGTGAACAAGAACCTGCAGCATGAATCAAAACTTCCAAAAGCTTGCCCCCAAAAAATCACTGTTCATCTAAAAAGAGACATGCCAAATAGGCTCACGGGGAAGGCTGTGTTTGGGTGCTGTGCAGCTGCAAGGCAGTGGGATGGCTGGGTCAGAGGGTGGCTGCGGTAACGGCATGCTGGGGTCACATGCCGCAGCTTATCAGCACACGGTGCAGGCAAAGCCTATGCCTTACAAGGCACAACAAACTGAACCCCTATTTCACAATGAAAAGTTTAAAAACAAACTGCAAGTTACAGTATCTGACCAGATGGGTTGCCCAAGGCATCAATATGGCAAATCCTTCCCTTCTTCCCAAATTCAGTATGACCCTGGCAGCAGCGCTGCAAGTTCCCCCACACTGTCTTGGCAAGACAAGCCCCAGAAGCAGAGCAAGCAGCAGCAGCAGGGTTTAAAGGCTAGTTCAGTCTGCGAGGCTGGTTTGCCTGACGGTTATCTCTACTGAGGCTGCCCAGAAGGACTGTGCGCAAATGCTTTCCTTTTAAAGGGAGGTTACTGTTTATTTCACAGAAATTTAAAGCTAGCTAGCAGATGGTAAGGCAAAGGCAACTGAGATGGGGCCCGAAGCTACAGCTTCCTCTGCTGTCACCCACTCACACAGAACGAACTGTGGGACCTGCAGGCTCAAATGCTACCACCACAGCTCAGGATGGTTTTACACGCTGGCTAAGCCAACCAAAGCAAGCTGTCAGGAGGAACGGCTGAGCTTTTAGCATGTGCACAACTGCGTGGTCAGCCATAACAGTAAGATGAGCTGAAAACAATTTGAAAATTAACTTTACAAAAAGTAACTTACAACCAGATAAGCAAGCTGATCCAGTTGACCTCAGACATCAGCTGCTACTGCTGGCGCTTGGGAAAGCAAAGGAAGGGCAAGACTTTCTCCCTTGGTGGCAGGGAAGCCTGAGATTGGTGAAGGCCTTTCAGGGAACTTCACTCTTGCTGTGCAAAAGGTCTGGTATCCTGCTGACAATCTGTTGAGATGTTAAGTCTTCACTTACCTATGTCTGGCAATAATTTGCATCGCTTAGAAATTTCCAGCTTCACGCTTGGCCTCAAAATCAGATCTGATGTTCTCAAAATGTATTATGCGCCACATTTCCCAATGGCCGTAGAGAGCTGGTCACGCAGCACTGGCTCTTCTTTGTCAGCTAAGTTGCATTAGACAGAATCTAAAAATACATTAAATACTTTCTAATTTTACTTTTTGACATAAGCAGTTACTATAGCTGCTGCAAAGATGTTGCAAGAAAGGTCAAGAGGTCACATAACTCCTTTTATTCAGCTGGGATATGTGCACTGAAAGGTCAAAAGGCCTTGGAATATAATTTTTTTGTTTCAATGCTTGCCTTCGCATTGGTACTTTATCAAAAATATCAAAAACAACTTCAAGAACTCAAATGAGCAGATAACCTCCTACTCCAAGGAGGAAACTAATTTAGCATACTTACAAAATCCATCTGCAATGCAAAGTTCAAGGAAATGCCGCCTAATATTTGAGAATCTCACAGATACCAGGTTGCCAAGAAAAAACAGCATTTGAGCAAGCTGTGGGTCTGTTTAGTGAGAGGGTGTTTAATAGTACTGACAGCCCACCAAATAGTATGTATTTATCATGCAGAAGTAAAATAGCTTTTTATACCATTTGCACAGATGTAGCGCTTTTCTCTCAAGAAGCATCCAGGTTTTGTGTTCATTAATTTACATACCACATACTTAGAGGACGTAGAGCAGTACTCCTGAAATAGACGCAAACCAAGGCACTGGAAAGGTTTTTTTTCATGCCAAATACACAGTACCAGAGTCTGAAATGAAAGCCCAGTGCCCAATAACCCTGCTCCAGGTATCAGCCCAAGCTTCCACCCAAACATACCGAGACCGCTGATTTTAGGATTAAGTCTCTTCACTTGTTCTGCTTGGCTACCTTGATTGACACTGCAGCCCCTATGTTCCTGAATAAATCTATGAAGTTCTACAGTGTCTGCAAACTGGTCTTTGAAAGTGAGGAGGGGATTAAAAAAAAATAAAATTACTTGATGGGAAAGCAAACAGTTGAACGTGAATAACCATTGCCTGTACTTCTGCTGCTACTTCTGTAAAGTTGCTATGGCTATTGTTGTGATGTGCTTCTGTTCTGCATCACTTCATTTGCTCAAGTACAAAATGTGGATCATTTAATTAGCATAATCTTGATCTCCAGAACAATCTGTCTGTTCACTTTGTTGAACAAACCAGCATTATCTTCAGATAATAAAGCGAGACTAATCTTAACTGCCAGTGGAAGAATTTACTCACTCACCTTCACCTACAGGGCAGTTCACTCGGCCCCTCTGTACATCCCTACTGCCTGGAGCAGCACAGTCTGATTCCAGGGTAACTTAGAAGGATCCTTCCTGGGACATTCCTCAGTAGAGGCATGAATTCATCTCTTATAACAGCACAGTAAATCTGTGCTATATGTATCTTCCTTCCTGCTAACAGCAATACACTGGTCAATCAATACACTGCTCAGTAATTAAATCATCTGCAAGACCTCCAGTGCTCATTTTGTACACACCAAATCCAAAACATTATTTGTGAAGATCCTGGCAGAAGGGAGTTCATAGCAATTCCTAGTTCCCATGAAAAGCTGACAGATACTAGTGAATTACCAACATATTTCAGTAAAACTTCAATAGCAGTTCTAAATTCATCCTTATCATTCTTGTGCACTCTCCAACAACTATATAACAAAAGTTAAAAAAGAAATTCACCTGAACCTTATTTTTGTCAACGTCTGTACTGTATGTTAAATGTTCTTTTTATATCAACTCCTTCCACCCTACCAACACTCTTAGCTGCAAACTTATTTTGTTACCAACTATTGCACGAGAAATCCCTTACCAGCACTCGGTACCAAGCCTCCAGCATCACTGACTGTACTGTGATCTCTGCCATCCATCATACGTGAACATTTATTTTTTTTTCTCATAGAGCAAATGCACCACAACTGCAGGTTTTTACAGACTTGCTCTCCTGCCTGAGAAGCCAGCCAGTCCTAGGTTTTCCATCTACAAGCTAGGGAACTACACAAAGCTACTAGCAGTCAGGGCAGGAAGACTAGCATTTGCCATCTTACACATCGGCCAAGTTCTCGATTCTTTGGTCTTTACTGATTCAGCTTTGATTCTCTTGCATGCAATCCAAGAGATGTTTCACTGTACTTTCTGCTCTATCTTCCAATTTTCAAATCACTGCCAAGTTCTTTAATATGTCAGTATCTTGAACGTGTCAACAGTATTTAAGTAGTGAGCAAGTAAAGCTCAAGAGCTTCAGAAGTACAGTGGTTATCATGCTTCAAGCCAAGCAAAGAACATTTTAATGTTCACCTTCACGTGGGGAGTTTTTATTGTACCTACACTCCCCAAAACTTCTTTTAGTAACTTTGCATTTCCATCAGCATGTACACTGTTTGAGTTATACCAGGAATAAATACGAAGAAAAAGAGCTTTTCCCACAACAGCCTTGATGGGTTACTTTTAATTAAAATCAGTTTAATGATTGATAAGCTCTAGTATTTCCAGCAGCAAATCGTAAGTGGTTGACTGTTTCCAGATACAGTGAAAAAACTGAAGATAATATAACTACATAAGCTAGCATACTTAGTTAGTTTACTGGTTGTCAAACATAGGAAAAAGTGAGGGTTTAACATGTAAATTGTCACGACCAAGAGCAAAAATTAAATGAGTATTTTGTAGGAATCAGAAAGTTCAACTATATAAACTTCTTAAGGAATCACTGCTTCCAATGCTTACTCTTAATCTCTCACAAAATTACTTTTGACATACTTCCTACATCAGAAACCAATAAGCACAAGTTTTCAGTATCTGATTAGTATTTAGGGGGAGGGGATATCCCATACATAAACTCAGTACAGTTGCTACTGTGAAACGTTCTTCACTCATGCCCCTTAAGCAAATAGAAGAACACTGCAAATACCTGTTTCCTAGTATCCTTCATTTGCTCTTTGAGCTTGTGGAGACAGCAAAAGGCAATGCAGTGTGCCTGCGCACCTGTTAATGAAGACATTTCTTCCTTACAAACAGAACAAATGCATCTGCAGCTGATTTAAGATTAGCCATACAACAAACCAAAGTTTCATTCAACACTGCAGGGAAAATAGGAGAGTGGGTATATGGGAGTGTGAAATCCTGAAGCTCTAACAGGATCCTCCCTAATCCTGCATGTGTCTTCCTCAGTCACTGTCAGCAAGGATATAGTGCTGTTTGAAACAGCTGCTGCATCCACCTGTCGTTCCTCAGCTTGTGCTGGTGGGAGGAGGAGACAACACACAAGAGGGAGCATTTCCTCTTTTGTACTGTTATTTTATTTTGTAGTAAGATCCATGTAGTATATAAAATATAACAGGAAAAACTGAACAAAGCCTATAAAATAAATGGAGGAGTTCAGATGATGAACCACTACAGCTCTGCTTTCGTGGTTTTTTGATGATGTCACCAGAACTCATGTACTGTTTACGTTGTACTTTTACAGTTCTCTAGCATATGAACCTACATAAAAAGCTGATATGTTCCAATTAAGCCATAGTTAAGTGACAGATGTAGAGAAAAAAACGGCTTTCTTAAGCCACAGCTGCCCTTGACACAGGTTACAATGATGTCTAGCTATACCATAATGCACATTACATCAAGAACCTTGAAAGAGCCTCTTGAGAAAACGAGTTCACATTAAGCATTTTAAAGAAAGGTCATAAATACTGCACTGTACCAACAGTACCTGCCAATGTCCTCCTTATGCCTGAGGAGCATTTGTGGTTTTTAAGAAGCTACTACATAGATGACACCAAACCTAGAGGTAGGTTATAGGCAAAGGTAAGTTACAGGCAAAAAAAAAATCCCTTTAGAGCTAGTCATTGCACAAACTGCCCAGCAGGAGGCCAGGCAAAATGTCAACAACTCTTTCCTCCCACCTTAAACATTGCTCATAGGGTGCATTTAAATCCTAGTGCCATAAGAATGACAGTGGATCATCAGCCGCTAGTAAATGCAGTCATGCCAAGAGAACAGCTTGAAGTTCTTCAAGCAAAAATCTATTACTGTGCAAAACTGGTGCACTGGACTGTTACCAACTAAACCTCCAAGTTTAGGAAGTGACCTGACGGTAGAGAACCAAGGTGTTCGTTTTCCTTTTGACATGGGAAATACTCTACATAATCAACAGGAGAACATACTGCTAAGCCTACGTGGAAGGAGTCAAAGATCAGCTTGTCTCAAAAGGTTCAAGAGACAAGAAAAAAGGAAAAGTTGAGAAAGGTTAAAAAAAAGCACACTTTTCTGAGACCAAGTTTTCTTTTTTTAAAAAGTTACTGTACCAAACAAGCCAGTAAAACAGCTTGTCTTTGGTATCATCTGGGATCAACATAAGGTTGATAACAATTATCATGTACACATTTCAACAGGGATGAGAAACACATCTGCAAGTACGATAGTTAACAGCAAATTAAACCCAAGTTTTAATTGTGTAATGCATTCAGGTCACAAAATGTGGACAAAATTTTAATCTTAACTACCTTCTGTGCACTATTTGGTGATAATCAAAAGGAACAATGCTGAAGATTCATTTTATTTCTACTTCCAAAAGGAAAAGGGGGAAAGGTTAAATAAGTGTTCTCCAATTTGTTCTCCACTATATGTACACCCACACACATACACACACGCACATGCACACACCCCTCAAACTGCACTGACATTTCTTTTTGACCAAAAGAGTAGATCTTGGGAGTAAGTGCAAAATGCAAAATCAACTGACAGAAAATGCTGAACAAACAGCATCATAAAAATACAAAATATTTATATTACTGAACTATTAACAGATGATGTTCTCTGTTTCTTTAAAACTTTGGAACCACATAGCTGATTTCTTAAATCTAGTCCATGCCAGCTTCCAGAACTATTAACGTTTTAGTTAGCTTCATTCTTTGATGCTTCATCAAAGTTTTCTACGAGATCTGAAAGACATGAAGATATTTAATACAGTAATGCCAAGTACCATTACCTTCATAAATTTAATGAAAATGCACATATTACAGGAAAGGTTAAGTAGTTCTTAACTATACTTATGTACACCAATTTTTACAGGCAGATTTCAAAGGGCTTTAGAAAATATGGTTTGAACATACGCAAAGAACTAGAAATGCAGGAACACTCAGAGGAGTGGAAGTTCTAACATGAAGTGATCAAGATCTGAGGTGCTCTACTAGCTGCAGTTGAGTCTTGAGCCATCAGCATTCTTTAAAGAATGCCTGAAGTTAGGCACCCATTAACTGCTGTACCTCACGAAACAGAAAATGTTGGAGAACTGAATTTTTATGCAAGGTCACAAAGAAATAAACCAGTGCCAGAGCATGAGGAATTGAACCTCTGGGTCCACCAGTTTGTTGTTTTAGCTAATACACCATACTGATGGATACAGAAGAATGTGGTGATTGATAGACACTTACTGACGAATTAAGAATTTACAATATTTACTTATTGAGAAACTTTCAGACAGTGACATAAGCTTTGTTTCTTCTACTGCAGAAATAAAAATCCCCACCCCCAGACTCTGATTTAAAGACAACCTGATGACTATGTCAATCATGTCATTTTGCAGCCCTAAAACCCTATCTGGACATTTAGATCACCTGTTCAACCTCCCTGAAAGTATTTTAATCTATTTCCACTTAAGAATTAAGCAATTTGCACAGGGTAAACCTTTTTTCAAAAGCTGGAATCCAAAGTCATCCATGTTTTAATGCTGTCCGGTATATGAAGCCTCCCTCAGTAAGTGAGAGGTATAATTGCATCAGGAGCTAAATATTTAAATGCACGAACTGAAATATTTATACATTAAATGGACATATGTGTGTATGTGCCTACCTGGGACATCATCATCTTCTTCATCAATATCTTCAGATTTTGGTGCTTTACTATCCAACACTGTAAAAAGAAATATGGTGCTGAGTTTTCATTATACAGAATTAGGGACAGTCACACAACAAAATAAAAAAACATACAAGTGAAAAAAGAAAGCATTTCCCCAACCCCCAATAGTGATAAACACACAATGACTGGGTATCAACAGTAAACAGCATGACCATAAGGTCTACTTATGAACATTCTCATACCAAAGTATTAGCACAGCCATTTTCAAATGCTTAGGTGTATTAATGCAGAGCTAGCAAAAGATCAAATGATACAGAAAAAAAACCAGCGTGACTAAATCTTCTAGCTGAAGTCATGTGTTTCAATGCAACAATAATGTGGTACCAATCAGGGACCAACATATCATATGATTCAATTATCAAGAGGCCACAACTGTAGGAAAAACTATTTCCCTTTCAAGGGTCCTGCATCAAACTTAGTCTTAAGTCATGGAAGTTGGAACATGCTACAAGTAATCTAGAGAAATGCAAGAACTTCAAAAATAAAGCATTTCTTCTCATTGGTCTGACTTCCTGTACAATCTAAAGAAAGCACGGCAAGAATCCATTGGTACTGAGGTGGTATCAAAGAAATATGCTTATGACAATCCATCTTTCTCAATTTTGAAAGGTTTTTTACATATTAGTAAAGAAGGAAAAATAGACCCTTTACTTTCAATTAAACTCTGAACATGAAATATAGATGAAATAAAAATTGATTTAGAAGGAATAAATATTTTTTGAAAACATTAGAACAGGTAATGTATTTTCCAGTTCCAAATACAGACAACTGCAACACGTCCAATTACAGTCTTTTTAATGGCCATAACCATCTAACCAGTACAAGTATGAAAAATTTTTTTGAATGTCCAACATCACCAGGGCTTGATATCATGAAGTAGTTTTTGGCAATGAACTCTGATACAGGTACTTGTAATGCAACGTGTACCTGTTCTGCGGTCTAAGAAAACTTCTACAAACTCATATCAAAGTCTACAGACTGATAACTGATTAATTTCATAACATACACCATTGCAAGAATAAAATTTCCATCTATTCTTAAATTACAAACTTGCTCAGGGACAGTAGTTGAGACCTCTACAAAACATGCTACAGTGCTTCCCCAAGGAGGGTACTATCCTAAAAGGGATTGTCCCCAGACTCCATTTCTTAACCGTAAAATTACAGTAATAGTTATACCACATACATATACACACACACCAAGCTCCCATGGCTTTAAAATGAGTACAAAATAAAGAATCACATTAAAAACTTTGATTTTTTTTTAAAATTTTCATCAAATCTTTGATTTTAATTCATTTTTAAAAGTCTTGCTTTAATTCCAAACAGAATTATAGAGTAGAAGATACAGAACGTGTTTCTTCCTCTATATCCACAATAGAAATGTTTTTTATGAACAAAGAAAACAGAATCCAATTCCCTGACAAAAAGAACCTGTCGAGTTTTTCCAAGTAAGAACATGAACTTGCTTTCCTATTTTGTCATATGCAGTTGTACACCTGGAATCACAGCATGCCTGACCTACCAGATTTTTATTTTTTTTTTAAATCAGGGCCTGCCTATATAGAAACTTGAATCAACAAGAAAAAAAAAACGTCATCTGCCCCCCGCCCCTCATATTTCCACAACAGCGGCAAATAAATAAAAGTCATATGCTTTTGACCACTTTTTAAGTCACACATGCTGCTGTTAAATATGGGTCAAAACTTTTATACTGCATACGTTCTTTAAATCAGTGATGAAAGGTTCCAAAAAGACCTACCTTGTCTTGGGAATTGTTCAGCTAACTTCCTGAGACTTGTTAAGCTGTCAGCACCAAGCTGGCTTAAGATGCCTGGAAGCATTTCTGTGATCGGTTTAGCCTCGGCATGACCAGTAATTGCAAAAGTGTTAGCAGAAAGGGAAGCTTGAACCTTGGGGTTGTTGAAGTGAATAACTGTTCCATCATCTTTTATCATGTTCACCTGTTTAAATATATTAATAACATTTACCAAAATGGTGCAGCATCTTGTTGAACAAGAATGATAAATTATTAATTCAAATCTAGATTTAAAATATTAATACAAAAAAAATTTACAAAACTAGTACTCCTCCTAGAGAATAATATAACCATGACAAAACTGTCTGGAATTAACACCATTTAAACTGGAAGTAAAATACAAGTTAGTGACAAAATATGGGTTCATACATACTATATGAAAAGGTTGAATTTATGGTTAAAATTACACAGTATTTAGATAAGCGTATAAATATGCAAGGATTATATGCTATCATACAGTTCATGTATATTTTTAATAAAGGCAAAAACCATACATAGGTTATTAGACTTTAAGGCATAAATGAGTTAGTATCAGGCATGACTGGGGGGGGAAAACACAACCAAACCTTGAGCACTATGGTAACTCTTTACAAACTAAAAGCTCTTAACAAAAAAGCCTTGCCACATCAGTTTAAGACATCACCATTCACAGCTGTGTCACCTAACACAAAAACATTATTGTTTGTGCAGCAGAATTGGCAAAGGCACAAGATTCACAGTCTGGCCTAATTGCTGAAGCAGCCCAAGGCCAAGGATGCTTCCTAGACACATACACACAGACCTGAGGTTTATGTACCAACTGCACTAGAACAGGCTTCTATGCCTTCCTAATAATTCCATGATGACTCTTAAGACTAAGTACATCATACAGTGACCCCCATCAAAGATTATACTGGCGTATTTGTATGGGTTTATTTTATGTTTTTTAACTTAAAGGGAGACAGAATGGAAAGTTAAAAAGGCTTTTCTTCTGGGCATGGCTAAACTGTGGTAAAGCGGAAAATAATTTTGTCTGAAAAAAGGAAGAGAGTTCTACCCATCAAACCGAACAGTAGTAGTAAACTTATGTCATAAAGCTAGTAAGTATTGTTTTTAGTAGAAGTTACAGGGAGAAAACAGAAATTTGGGAACTAAAGATCTAAAAATATAAAAACACGTAAGTTATCAATCTTCATACAGCAGCAGAGTTCAAAATATGTTTTGAAGAGGAAAACCAGGTGTGTTGCTTTCCTGCAAAACTAAAGGATGCCCTGTCCCTTACACATGGGGAAATGGTAAAGGCTTCAAGCACAGTCATCCTCTTACTTAAAAGCCTCTTTTAAAAACCACAAAGATGAGCTGTTTGACTCAACATTACTAGCCTCGCCAAACTCTTCTATCTACACAAAGTTTACCAAGGTCAACTTGTGTCCAGCTGAATACAACAACATACTGCAATTATGTATCTAGCTATCAAGGCAGAAGCATATTGCATTATCTTCCTTCACATCAAGACATTTAAAATCCTTAATAACCATGTCTGAATAAAGATCTACACTAGGGATGGGGAGGGAAACAACCACAAAACAGAACAAGAACTGTGTCTTTCTTTGGGTTTGTATAGCTCAGCATATACATATCAAGTCTAAGTAAACAGACAAATTGAATTGTTTCTGTAGCAGAGGTATGAAAACTTACAAGCAAACCAGGCTTCTACACTGAATCTGTATTTGCCTTTGGAAGAGAGGTATGCACTAGGTGACCTCTGGAGGCACCTTGCAGTCCTGCTTTAATTAATTAATCACAGATTAAATATTATGCTTCTTTAACCAAGTACTACAGTAATATTGAGTTCATGATGAAGGAACACCTCCTCCTCCCACATATGAGTGTCACTCTCTACAGTGTTATGGTAAATGTCAGTGTTTCACTTCACATTTCATACATGTTAAATGTACGTAGACATATTCAAGGAATATCTGAAACTTTTACAGTCCTACATACATTAACACAGAAGCTGGTTATGTATAGTCTTTGCTGTGTTGTAAGGAATACCATCTCCTCTGACTACCACAAACAATTTTGGTAATTTTTATGCAGTAAAAGGACCTAATTTTGATAATACAGACTTGCAAGTTCTTATTCCAGGTATTTTTATGCTTTCCTTTATATTCTGCACCACACAACCCTTGCTTTGGATGTGCCTGCACAGTACATGTGTGTTTAATGCTCTTCTCTTTAAAGTAGGTAATCAAGTTCATGAAGTCAAGAATCAAAGAGTTTTGTTTTGCAATGAATGCAAGACACATACATGACAAGCAGCTTACTAGCGTCTATTGTCACTATCTGGCCAGCAGAACCTTCTCCCTTCTTTCTCTAGGTAGGTATGCATTAATGTGAATGAGACAACAACCAATCAAATAACTTTACCTATCAATAACCAGACCTGTAAGTTTTGAGGCAAAAAGAAAACTGTTACTTGGGGGGGGGGGGAAGAGGGGGACAACAAACCAACAAAAAAAAACCATAACACCAAAACAACACAGTGAATTTAATTTCAAACAAGAAACACTTATCACTGTACCTCTTCAATGCCAGCAATGTTATTTACTGCCAGTTTTTTGAGGGAACTCTGAAGTTTTTTGTCATCAGCTGTAGCTGTTCTGTGCACCACCTTCTTCTTTCTGCGAGCTGTTCCCTGGAAAAGAATCAAGACACAACAGTCAGTTATTCTCAAAATCTCACAACACTTTAATTTTTCAAAGTCATATCACGCTCTGAGGAACCTATCTTTAAGCTATGAGAAAGCTCTGTAGTCAAAAATGCTCCTCAACTTACTTATCTTCACCTACGGTCTTAACTGTCAGCATAAATTTTAAGGTTTTTCTTAAATGTAAAAGAGCAAAATGACACTGAACAGTAGCAGCTTCTCCCTTCCCACAAGCTAGATTATAAAAATACTATTTGCTATTTAGCAATATATAAAAGTTTCCCCAAGAACTTTATTTTTTCCAAGATGAAGCACAAGTACAGTGACTTTAAAAGGTCACACTTTCATAACCAAGTAATTAACATTTTTAAACTGTTCCACAGACAGCAACTTTGGAATTCCTACTCTGCAAACTTTTGTACAACTGTCATGGTTTAACCCCAGCCAGCAACTAAGCACCATGCAGCCGCTCACTCACTCCCCCCCACCCCCACCCCCCGCCCCGAGGGGGATGGGGGAGAAAATCGGGAAAAGTAAAACTCATGGGTTGAGATAAGAACAGTTTAATAGAACAGAAAAGAAGAAACTAATAACAGTAATGATGACACTAATAAAATGACAAGAGTAATAATAGAAGGATTGGAATGTACAAATGATGCACCGTGCAATCGCTCACCACCCGCCAATCGACACCCAGCTAGTCCCTGAGCAGCGATCCCCCCGCCCCCACTCCCCCCAGTTTATATACTGGGCATGATGTCACATGGTATGGAATATCCCTTTGGCCAGTTTGGGTCAGGTGCCCTGGCTGTGTCCTGTGCCAGCTTCTTGTGCCCCTCCAGCTTTCTTGCTGGCTGGGCAGGAGAAGCTGGGAAATCCTTGACTTGAGACTAAACATTACTTAGCAACAACTGAAAACATCAGTGTGTTATCAACATTATTCTCATACTGAACTCAAAACATAGCACTGTACCAGCTACTAGGAAGACAATCAACTCTATCCCAGCTGAAACCAGCACAACAGCCCTGACTATAGTTAGGAAATGAACACCTACACTGAATAAACTATACGCTTTTTTGTCACATTAGCTACCTGCTGGCTCGGAGAAAAAAAACCAGCTCAGTGCAGAGTCAGATAAGCCCTGGAGCTGCCACAAAGGAAGAAACTCCCCAACAGGGAGAAGAGAAAGACAGAACTGGAATAACCAACAGGTAAGCTTAGCTTGAGATTTCACAAGGTCACAAAAAGTCACTGAATTAAAAAGAAAGCTTACACACTAGAAACTACTCATCCAGTAGCTGTGAACTGAAAGAAAACTGCATTTCAGGCAGCAGTATTACAATTCAGATCACACAAAACCTGTATTTTTCAGGCCTCAAAGTATAATTTTTTCCCCTCCCATGAACTAAACCCTATGCTTTGAAAACCAAATTTCAGACATGTTTCTCCCTCAACGTGTAAATTACAGGAAACAGTGCATCTCTGATGGTTTTCTTACCTTTCCTCCTATTCGGACCTGCGCTTGAAGCTTGGCCAGTTTTTCTTGGTTCATAGTGCTGTGTCTGAAGAGTAAGAGTGAAATACAAGTTAACCATCAAAATATTAAAAAAAAAATTTCACAGTCCATTTTAAAAGCACTCTTAAAATTGCAGTGGGTTTTTAAGCTTACAGAAAATTCAACAAAACAGTGCATCAAACAAATACGCATAAACAAAAAGCTTTAAAGCCACACAACCTAAATAATGTAATGCGGTCCAGGAGAAGCTTGTTTAGCTGAAGTGGCTGTACCACGAGGAGGCAAATCAACAGGACATTTCATTTTGCATCAGTCTGAGGTAGTGTGAATTTCCAAGTATGCTAGCTTACTGTTGGAGCCATTTGACTGAACTACTGACTCAGAACACACCCAACTCTGCACGTACAGCACGAGTGCTTCTAGAAAAACACCTTGAACAGAGCCCAGGGAGAGACCCATCGCTACACTACTTTGAATACTATTTTTTCCACATAGTGAATCTCTGATACATTTAACTAATAAGCCAGCTCCGAACTCGGTGAAGTTCACATCTTTGACAGATTTCCTATATGACCCTCCGGCAACTATTCATCCAATTCAATGACTGCGAAGTTAGTTAAGTGGCATCTCCAACGGGTCAGGTGGGACCTTAAAAGGCTGGAAGACCTGAAAAATCTGTTACGGGTGGAAAAACACCTCAAGCCTTCCAACACAAGGAAAGCATTTCGCTGCTCTGCCCCAGTAAGTCACCGGTGATGCCCTGAATGAAGGGGGGAACCCCCTCCGCATTTGCATTGTACCGGGGAAGCGACAGAGAGGCGGAGACGGGGCTCCGGCGGGCGATCGGGTACACGGTGAGGCCCCAGCACCGCCGGGAGGATCACCACACGGCCAGGGCCTCCGCCGGAGAGGCGGGAGAAGGGACTCAGGGCGGCTCCCTGGCCACCCCCAAAGCCCCGGGGAGCGGGAGGGGATCAAAGCCCCGTCCCTCGGGAGCCAGGGCAACCCCACGCGGCCAGGGCACCGCGGCCCCAGGGGAGAGTCAGGGCCCACCCGAGCCAGGCCAGACCCCACCACACCGCGTCCCGGCGCAAGGCCTCGCTCCCCCCCGCCCCCGTCCTCTCCTCGAGGAACGGCCGGCGCCCGCGGCCCCGCCACGGCCCAGCGCGGCAGACGGGGACGGGACGGGACGGAGCTGCCGCGGCGCCCCGCCCGCCCCACGCCGGGAGGGGGCAGGGGAAGGGGGTGGAGGGGCCGTGCCGGCGGAGCGGTGCCGACGGGGGCGGGGAAGGTCTTACCCGAGTCCGGCGGATCCTCCGCAACCCAACACGCGGTGAGAACAAGATGGCGGCCAAGGAAGGAAAGAGAGGCGCACAGAGAAAGGAAGCTTCGCGCCACGTGACGGCGCCAGCCCGCCCGCGGATTGGCGGACGCGGAGGCGTTACATTTGCATAGCAGCAAGGGCGGGGGCGCGGGGAGGCGGGCGCGCGGCGCGCGGTGCCTCCTGGGAGTTGTAGTCTCCGGGGACGGGCAGGGACCGGTGGCCGCTAACCCGGACCCGGGACGCGGCGGCTCCAAACGTGTCACCACGCATTTGTCGGAGCGCTGTCCCCCTCGGAGAACCCTCCTTCATACACGAATGCTTGCGGTCGGTTTTACCTTCCCAACCAGCCGGGTGGGACAAAAGGATTATTTGGGAGGAGAAAATAAATCCCGAACCCGCCCCTCACTGCCTGCTCCCGCCGGGGTAACCCTTTTGTTCAGGGGAGTAACCGGGGTTCTGGGGACCCGGTGTGACTGAGGTACTCCTGCCCCGGAGGCCTCAGCTACCTGCGCGGAGCCGAGCTGCTCTGACCGAGAGGGAAACGGCTGGAACCCCCCCCCCTCAGAGGGCGGGCGAGAGAAATGCCCACAGCAGCCCCTTCCCGCCCAGCCTCCCCCGGCACCCCCGAGCCGAGAGGTGAGGGCGGTGCACCGCCCACATCCGCCTCACATCACTTCCTGGGCTTGGGGGAAAAAAAAAAAAAGAAAAAAAAAGGAGGAGAAAGAATAATCACTTAAGCTGGTCCGGTCCCGTCTCGGAGGTTTAGGGGCTGCACCCGGGGTGCCGCTGCTGCCCGCGCCGACAACCATGAAGGCTCAGCCGGCGGCAGCCTCCATCTTCTGTCTGTGCCTGGCGCTGGCGGTCTCCGCAGCCTCCGCCGCGGAAGGGCTCGGAAAGGGTCAGGCAAACGTTTTCTTTGGGCTTTCCTCTCAGCTTTTGCCGTTGCCGTGAATGGGTGCGCGGGGGGACCGGGCCGGTTCCCACAGCCCGCGGCGGCGGGGGGGGGAGGGAGGCCGGGCCGGCCTGGCACTGTTTAGAGGGAGACCGCTGCCTCTTGACTTTAAAGATGAGGCGGTCTTTAAGCGATCTTTGCCGTCCCGCCTCTGTTCAGGCTAAACCTCGAGGAGTTTCCCTTTCGAGGGGCCCCGCTTCTATGTGGCGAAGGCCGGGGAGTGGGGTGGGGGGCGCATCGCGTCAGTGCCCCCCCTGGTGCCAAGGTGCCCTGTCAGGCCTGCCCAGCCTCTGCTGGCTCCTGGCGGGCGGGGAACGGCTTTTCCTTCCCGCCCTCGGCGTCCCTTTTCCTTCATGACCGCTCCTCACCTCTCCTCTGGCTCGCCGAGGCCTCCTTGTCTAATAGCCATGTCTAATAGCCTGGTTCAGTTGCCCCAGGGCCCTGAGCCTCACCCCAGGTGGTGGCTTTAGCCCGTCGTGGAGATTAATCTCCTCTTCGGGGCTGGTAGCAAGGTAATTCGATCAATGACAGCAAAGCTTTGTGGTGTGGATCCCGGTCATTCCCCTTTTGTTTTACAGTTAATTGCTCAGATGTCTTTCATTCAAAAGAAACACTGTGTTGCATAATGCTTTTAAAAACATACCGAAGCTCGCCACAAAGTGGGTTTTAGTAAGAAAAGCCTTCGAAAAGTGTTTCCTAGCTAGAACAATAGAAGGTTTTCCCTGTTTTAACATATTGGCCTTTGAATGAAATAGCTGACGTGTCGATATTCTGAGTAAATGTGACTTCTGCTAATCCAGCTGTTTTTTTGCTCTGCCTCAAACATAGCCTTGTCTCTGAGGCTGCCTCTGCAGCTGATATGTGTGTGTGATTGGACATGGACAAGGCGTCCCCACCTTACTGTAGCACAACTAAATATTTGATGTGTTGCATCATATATGTTCACAGTTGTTCACGTCAGGAGAGGAGATAAGGCAATAAAAATACTGTGCCAACTGTTCAAACCTCCTGGATGCTGAACTAAAGTGCCACAAGGTTTTGTCGACCCCGTTTTTGGCGTTCTCCAGCTTCTTTGCCATAGTGGTCTACTGGAGAAAATGTCCTCTTTCCCCTGTGTCAGCACTGGGCAGTCTGTGGCTCCTGACCCCTCTGCAGCTCCCGAAATCTGCCCCCCTCAGCACCGTGGGCACTGGGGGTTCCTGACTAATCCAAACCCTCAGCGATGGGAAGAGGCAAGTCAAGGCTGATGTTTGGTCATCCAGCACAGCCCCACATTACTGGAGCCATGAGAGAAGGTCTTGCAGGGGAGTTCCCCTACGAACAGTTCCTGGATCTCCTTCGTCTCAGCTCTCCATGTGGATTTGGCTGTGTGCTGTGTTGGCTACAGGGTCAAAAAAACTGGCAGTCCCTGCTCTGCAGTTGTTAAACGTAGGCTCGCTCACTCTTTATCTCGGCTGACATAACAAGACTTGTTACCTGGGTATGAGATAAAATGTTTCCTGCATCGTTCAGACACTGTAACGTTCAGAAATCTGTGTAATGGCGTTCTTTCTTACTCTTTGATTATATTAACATCAGTAGTAATACTTAATAGTTTTAGAGCAATTAATGATCATATGTTGGCCTAGGAATTTTTAAGTTTCGCTTTAGTTCACGCTCAGTGGGATTTAGAAAGCCAAATGCTGACATGTTTAATTTGTCACTGATGAGTTAATAAATGTTCACACATTGAAAAAGAACGGGGAATAATCAGAAGGCCCTTCGTTTCTAATCTCTGTTTGGGGGATTTTGGTGTCATTTGCATACACATAAAAATATTAATGAGTGTGGTATGTTTTTGTTAATTAATTTCAGTGGGATTCCTCATAAGACTATGTAGGTTGTAAGTATTTGCAGAAGTCTTTCAAGGGCTGGGATTATAGTTGGCTTTAAAAAAAGAATATAAAATGAGTTGACAATATTCTTAGGGTTGGACTGTTTTCTTCTGTTAGCTGACGTGTTAAATTATGCACCATTTATAAACCCTTCTCTCTGGCAGGTTTTGGAGATCATATTCATTGGAGAACACTAGAAGATGGGAAGAAAGAGGCAGCAGCCAGGTATGTTAGCTAGCATTAAATACAGAAAAGTGCCTTTAAAAACATTCACAAAGGTTCTGTGTCAATCCTAAATGTAACCACAGAAAACAGTAATTGTTAATAAACATGAAGGTGGTTTAGGAGACTGTTCGGATCCCTGTAGCTTATTAGAGAGAAAATACAGAGTTTTGCCAACTTTGCTGAGGCACCACGTAGGTTTAATCACTGCAGTCGAATTAAATGATTGAAGTCCTAGCATGTCGTTGAAATGAGAAGAAAAGAATTGTTTATCATAGTAAAGAAAGAGATGGTTCTCAAACCCACGGATGCATGTTTGAGTAGTACTCCGTCCCCTTGAACTTGGCAGTGCTAATAGCTTCCGTAAAATTCAGTGTGCCTGTATAGATGAGGCCTCAGAGGGAGATCAGAGAGTTATTTTTTTACCATCTGCAGAAAAAGTCTGAAAGTGTCAGACTATAGTGAACTGGTAAGTTGTTTAAGTGGAACCCTTTCTGGGTTAAGCTTAAACTCTAAAAAGAACACTGTCTCTGTGAAAAGGTAAAAAATGACATTTTGATGCATTTTTTTCTCAGAATTTCTTCTGTTTCTTGTTAAAATGTGAGAGGGAAAATTGTATGCTTACAGATTCTACTTGTACTTTTAAAATTTATAACCTAGCTCTGACAATGCTGACACGAGCGGAAATTCATTACGCTTTCCAGGTTTGCTGTTTAATTGAATTCTGCTCTCCGGCGGATCTATCTGGCGAGCGTAGACACCAAATTAACCCAGAGGGTACAGTTCAGAAGTCTTACAGGTTTTTGTAACTGGTTATTTTAGCATTTATTTGATACTCCCGTGCAAAAAAAAAGGACTATTTCAGTATTTGCGGGAATAATTGTAGCATTACTTTGCAGTGAAGCAGAGGAAGCTGTAAAATGAGACAGAGGAGGGAGGGAGAGAGGGGTGGTGAGCTGTCAGGTTGAGACAGGGTGAGCGTTTCTACCCAGAACCCCCCCGCAGCAAGGGACGGGTGTAAGGCACGCGCTCTCCTTTCGCTGCCGGAAACATGGACCGGCTCGCTGCTTGGAGTTCAGCAGCATTTGAGCGTTAGCGAATTGAAGGATTGGGAGAAACCACCACCAACAAAGAAAAGATGAGCCTAAAAAGCAGATTTTTGGTCTAAGTCTGACCTTAGGTCAGGAGATGAAAACTTGTACGGAACTGTCTGTTACGCATCAAGTGAGATGCGCCTGAGCCGGTGGTCTGGGAAGTTGCAAGACTCGGGATTTCAGTTCCGTGAATAGCGCAATCAGGATGTGCTGGAGATGCTGGAGACGCCTGGTTTTGCAGTTCCCTGCGGGCGAGGGTGTGGATCCGGCGGTCATAGCGGGACCGAGTGTCTGGTTCCCGGGGGCAACCCCCGTTACCCGTCGCGCTTTCAAGCAGGACGGTGTCCCTGGGCCAGAGGCGTGCCGCGGCGAGGCGGTTCCCCACAGCTCTTGGGGCCGTCTGAGGCGCTGGCCC